TATTCATTTACTACTAAAAAAACTATACTCCGACATTTTTCTTTAAAAAATAAAAAAATAAATAAAAAGAAGAAGAAAAAAAGACTGAAACATTTAACACAACCATAATTTAACACATTTCTTCCACGAATTTAGATATATTTAAATATATGGAGATTTTTGAGAAAGTTGAGATACAACTTCAGTTTTGAGTTGAAGAAATCAATAACGTAGATTAATTCGTCAAAGTGTGAAACAATGACCCAGAACAGCTAAACCAGCGTCAAAGCTTTCATAGCTGTCAATTGTGGAGCAGAAATAACACATCGCGCCTATTACCTAGCACCCCGAGAAACCGGCCCTGGTGGAACGCGCGGGTCGGGTGGTAGCGTCGGACGCGAGCGTCGAGGCGCCTGTCTGTAGAACGGGCCGGTCGGTCGCGGCCTCAGTGATCTGCACGATGCCGCCGTGATCGTACGGCGTTGTATTTTTCCCTGGCGACACGCGCACGCATCACGTGGCACACGCATCGCCGTCCGGGTCCCCGGAACGCTTCCTGCCTCCTGCGGCGCAACCACGTCTAAACATCTCTCTCGCATCGACGCGTTCCACCGATTCTCGCGATCCGGGGGAGAAGCGACGCCCGTCGACGACGTTGGTGCGCGACGACAAATGCGTCAGTGATTCTGTCGTCGGATATATGCCCGGAGAAGGTACGCGTGAGAAATACGATCAACTCTAGAGACTGATCTGCCGATTGATACCGCAGACCTGCATAAATCCCGGGATTAGAAGGGCCACCCATTGACCCCGTGAACCCGTGCACTCGCGCACAGCTGTACTTGGCCGCTTTAACGAATGCAATTCGATCTGTTAACACTGTTATTCGGTTACGCGATACTTTTTATACTAGCATCGTGGAGAATGATGCTTAAAACGTTAACGTGTGTAATGTTGAACAATCACATACGTACCACATATAAAATTGCCACAGTGGCTCGTAAGCTGATGGTTTCGCAATAAAATCTGAGACACGCGAGCGTCGACGTTACAAAAACTTTGTAGATTAGTTTCGATAAAATCTAACTAAAATACTTTGTCATTAATATATCGACTAACTTTAATCAAGATTTGTTGAATTTCCTTCTCTTCTCCGTATTCTAATTAATATTATAAATTGGAATTAGACAAAATATTAATTAAACTGCAGTTATAATATTATCGACGTTGGTGAAAATAAATCTGGGAATTGACAACGCTCAACTTTTATGTACTTACTGTAATGTAATTGACTTTCTTTTTACTTTTGCATAAGAAAATCAAAGCCAAATTGCGCTGACAATATTGATCAGTTGCAAACAAAAGATTCTCACTGTTCTTTTCTACAAAATAGATCACGATAGGTGAATCGAAAATGTAGATAAAAGATATACACGAAAAATAAATTAATAAAGCTAATTAGCGTCGACATAATCCAAAGAATCCATTTAAACCAGTTGTAAGATTAAAATTTAGCAACGTTAGCGAAATTCTATCTGCCATTTGATCCGTTTGATGAGATAATTGTTTTTCTTCGACAGCTATTTCGTCAGTAGTTTATGATTTTAAGGATTTACTTTAACAAGCCAATCAGTGTGTGTGTGTGTGTGTGTGTGTGTGTGTGTGTGTGTGTGTGTGTGTGTGTGTGTGTGTGTGTGTGGTGTGTGTGATTGAAAGAGTATGTATTTATGAAATTCTAAACATAAAGTTTCACAAGCATATGAAAAAATGCACATTCGTTCATCTTTTAACATCATTATTCAACAATAATTATCAAATCATAATATGTATAATTGATACAAGTTGATTAAGAATATTTTGTTAACCTACATACTTACTGATGTATACGCACGAGTATACCACATACTCCATTGTTTTTAGTTGATTACAAATTGTGTGTATTATATTTTATATTCACTTTAAATAATGATGTTTGCACACTTGGATATTTTAATTTATTTTACAGAAGAAAGTGCTAAATTATTTTTGCAAAATTTAAAAAATAAAACTTGAGTCTACTCTGTAAGCTTGAATATTATTATTTCTTATTGTTTTGTATGTATGTATGTATGTATGTATGCATGCATGCATGTATATACATCCTACACTCACACACGCACGCGCGCGCGAACAGGTACATACATATGTACATATATATCTCTCGATCATATGGCACTATTATTTTTTATTAATGAGATTTTAAATAATTTAGTTTAATACATTAACGTCTGGAGCAGTATCTGTCGCTATATAACGTGCTTCGTAACAAGTTCTGATTCTATGTAACCGTGGTTACATAGAATAACCGTGGTAAGTCCTATTCTACCGTGGATTGCAAATCGACGGTTCCATTCATATTGAGATCAAAGACATTCTCTTCGTTGTGAGAACGAAGCGTTTCTCCCGTCCTGAATCTCACAGAAAACATGATGATAGCATGTAGAATAGTATCACCCAGGCTTATCTAAGGCGTAATCTAATACTAAAATCTTTGCGCTAATATGGACCCGTTTCACATTATGTTGCACAAAGATGGCATTCGCATTCGCGAATAAAATAATCTCCTTCTACACATAGTATTCCATTCTTCTATATTAATATTACGTAAGAGAGTTGTGTTTCTTCCTCTAATAATGATTCCTAATGATTCAATTAGTCTTGTGTAACATCGTGTTATCTTATGCATTATTATTTGTATGTATGTTTGCGCGCGCGCAAAATATAATTGTATCGTAAAAAATATTCGTTATTCGATTCTAATTATTTGACAAAATCTACGATGATAATACAACAAGATAACCACATTTTATTGATGGCATGAAATCTATAGGAAAGTTACATAAAAGATTATGTGAGCCTGCGGATGAATGGCATAATAGATTGTTCAACAATACAAAACGGAAGGAAGTCATTTTTGCGTGATTGAGTTCAAGATTGATCTACTGTACTGGTTAGTTACGATATCGTAAAATTGACGTAGTTAACGTAATACTTGCCAACGAGAGTAATTATGTATAAGCAGATAATTCACAATACAAAATTGAGCTAAAAATGTTAATTAAATAAAATTATACACTCATAGTTACCTTTCTGAATGTATACGAAAGTTGCAAGAAATTATTTCAAAACTCGATAGAAAAATAATACTCAAGAAAAATAACTTGCTTGTACAACTCGTAACGTTATAATATTAACGTATTCTATACAACACATTTAGAATACAAGTAAATGACATTGCTGTTGCCCATTATTTGAATTTCATCGTACGTGCTTTTCCGCACGCATTTCCTCAACTACGTTCATACACGCCCGCGACTAAATTCTTGTAATTGTGTAATTTTTCTTACGTTTTTTACCTGCCAAACACAATGTGAACGATGTATCACCACTAAACTCTTGTTTCGAGAGAAATAAGATTTATGCACGCTGCATTATTATTGAATAACCAATCATCGAACAGAATGCAATAACGAATCCTCATCAAGCTGCTATTCGACACAATTAGATGTGCAATTATGCTAATAGTAACCACTTACATACTGACCATGTGAGTTTCTGCAGCGCGAGAATGCTTATCGCATGGATGCGGTCACGTTTCCGCGACTGCTTGGCGTATAGTAATATACTCGCGATCTCGATACACCAACAGATGCACACCGTGAACTGAGAAATGTGTAACTGATTACCTATTCGATCGGACCTTCTTTTCACGCATCTGTAGCATGCCACAAATAAACACAGCGTACTTATCTCTTTAACCATCTTCGTCAATTTAATTATTATATCATTGAAATCGATGCAGGACGAATATTAGGACTTCCTCGCGCGAGATCGTAACACAGTATATTCATCATCGTACCGCTCTTCATTTCTTCATTAAAACCGAACACGCGTATATAGAATCAGTGAAGGATCAGTGAAAGCAACATATTAACCGCCAGTTTTATCTTTCATTATAAAATAAAGATAGTTTACACAAATTTACAACTGCCAATTTCAACGCAAAGAGTTGAATAAGTGACGAAACACGTGTGTACAATAACGCTTATTATTGTTAGCTGCATTCGTTCTAATACGTTTACGTTTGTATTCCCAGAATGATGATTTGCTCATCTTCCATCTTGAATATCTATGTTCAACCATCAATTAATTTCGAAATACGGAAATGCAAGTAACAGTGTAACGCGGACGATCAACAGACAGTGCAATTAATTTAATAGCCGAGAAATCGGCGAACAGACGACAATTTATCGCGGCGAGTTTAGACTCAGTCTAGTATGGTAACACTTTAAACGTGTTTTAGTCCGATATGAGTACAGACGGAAGCACGTTCTACGGGAGAAGATGACCCCACGTCGTCGCGTCTTGGCAGGAATTCGCCGTGCTATCTTTGCTGCCGGTATCCTGGCGCTCATCATCCTGGCACTGTCGGGACAGGATGGCACCAGCACCTTGCAGCACGGGAATTCGCTGGAGGTGAGTCATCTCTCGCGGAAATTTTGCCAGTGATAAGCCGTACAATATTTCATATTTATTACTCACAATCAGAAAATTCGCGAAATACTGTTTCAAATAACTTGAAGAAAATATATATATACATATATATTCATAAATCATGGAAAGTCAAATCTCTTTCGCATTCTAATCGCGCTTCATTCAACTTTAAAAGAAAACAAAAACTCAAAAAAGGTCATATTCAGTTTCACGCTTAGATAACCATCGATTTATATTAATCCTTAACATTATACAATCTTCGCAAATACTGATTAATATATGGCCTTTATTTTAATTCTTTCGATAAATACTCATCTAGATGGTATTTCAAGCTAATTTCTAATTAACATTTCATTCTTATTGCACATCTGATAAATATTAATTATTACATCATAACGTTATATATTGAAAGAATATGTTAGATATATCCAACGCAACAAACATTCGCGGAAAAAAGAGTCTGGTTTGAGAAAACGTAGAGTTTTGTATCGGCTTCCCTTTTTCCTGAGAAAATGTTTACGTAAAGCACAACGGCTATAGATTGGCACAATTCCAGGCGCAATGCGGTACGTGGATCAGTGCCCGCCTAATACAGTCTATTTAAAATGTACACAAAATCGAGTTTATTGCTAATTGCGACAATCATTTTGCTGATTATCATCATGAGTGAAACCCTGCCTATTATACTTTCCAATATTATAAAATTTATCAGACAATTACAAACGCATAATGTGTAGTTTCCAATTTCAAAAAATATGCAAATTAAATCTGAATATTTAAATATAACGGAATATACTACTATTCGATATCAAGGAATATCAAGTAAATCGAGTAAATCATTTCAGGAAAACGAAACTAAAAAAAGAAAAGATTTTATAAGAAACAGCAATATTGCCAATTTGACAAGAATATATAGAAATTATAAACAAAATTAAAATATATATAGGTATATCATAAGTTTTGTTAAATCTTGCATTAATGTGATATGTAATGCAAAAATTATTTTTATGTCACACATCTTATCCTTATAAAGTAATCGAACCAATGTGGAATAACAAATAATCCATCACAAAGTAAGAGAAAAAATGTGTACGCGAATAGAGTTGCGATAAAAAGAAATTATATATCATACAATCGTAAAGATTATTTGATTCAGACAATGACAACATGATTTCTTTATGTCGAAGCATTTACATGATAACTTATGGTCATCACACATGACACTATACTTTTTTTATAAAATCAAAGAATTACATGTTGATAAACAAAAATTGATAACGGGATAATGACAGAAGCACGAGACGCAGTTGAAAAATTATGTATGTTACGACGGATTTTTGCTTCCAAGATCTTTGTTTCTTTTGTTGAAAACGACGTAAAGTTATTTTCATTTTAACAAAATTGGCTTACTAAACACTGTAGAGATTAAGAGTTAAATGAGAGCACAAAAAGACTAAAATTTTGCATAGAGATGAAAAAATTAAAATTTAGATTGAATTTCCAAAATCAAAATCGTAATTGCAATTGATAAACCAGAGAGTAATAATTAAAAACCAAAAGTTAAGTTTTACCTTCAGCATTCAAAAAATAAAAAAAGAAAGAAAGAAAGAAAAGAGGAAAACAACATAGAACAGGTATTTTTATTCGAAAACGTTTATTGTACGAACAATAAGCAAAGAAATACCAGTAGCTAAAAGTAGTTATTAATAACAAAAATCTGCGACCACATAATAGCTGCCGACTACGTTTACTGCTAAATAAGAAAAAGACACATATATATCAGCAAACCCGCTATTTTTCTCTACAACAGCTCTCTTCAATTAGAAACATTTAAAAGTGTAAATGCATTTCGAAAAGCTGTCTAACCGGAATTTATTTTATCATCGATATAGCCAACGACCATTTAACGACATTTACTTAACGTGCAAAAATACGACAAGATAATAGCGCAATACACATTCTAACGTCTTGCAAAATGGTACGTGTATGCACGATGCGCCATTACCCTCCATGGCCCACATTCGCCGCCTGCACAAGGCGCGTTCTACATCGAAATCAATAAGCGGAAGCCGGCAGTTCTGCATTCGGTCTTACCAGTTCGCCGTGTTAGACACATCAATGTGATTTTCTTGTCTCATAGATTACGCCATTCTGTGATCCACCGTGATTAGCGAATTAAACGAAATAATTTTTTGTTTTTTATTTAAACCATTACAAAGATTCAGAACGATCGCAATTAATTTTTAGTAGTATTTTTTTGTTTAAAATATTAATCTCTCTATAGTGTTAAAAATGTTTGAAAAAAATTGATCTTTATAATTAGGAATTGGCGAAATACACTATTTTTATACGGATCATTATTGCTTGGAACAAAAATGATATCTTGGAAGAGTTTTAACGCGAATAAATATCTGGAAAAGTTTTACGCTGTGACATAAAAATGAAACTAATCGAAGAATATGTAGCGTTTTCATGCATCTTGCAAGCCAATTTCCCCAAAATATAGATGATTCATGAAATTATAGAAACGTGCCGTCTATTTGCGACACGCGACTTGAAAATAGTTTCAACATAGTATACAAAATGATCTCTTTGCAAGCAGTTAGTTTAATAATAATAAGCATGCACTGCACTCATTACTAATCACAAGCCTTGTATGTCGTTTAAATAATCCAAGTACCATAAGAGTGGAATTTAACAAAAAGTAGGTTTTTCATTTGTCGGCCGTAAATATAAAAAAAGTCATATTGTATTTGTAAATATGAAGTTTTTGTTGAGATTTAATTAAAAGTAGAGAATGATGTATCACATTAAAAGTTAACGGCAACTTGAAAAATTTTCACTTCATCAATTCGCACAAATTCCACTTGCTTAATTTGCAAAAAATTTAATAAAAATCTTGAAGATCGTAAATGGCATGACCTCTAATAAAAATGCAAATGTATCAAGTCTGCGATCCCGTCGAAGCAATTCGACGCAATGCTGTGTGCGTGCAACGAGTACTCAATAAGCGCATAAGCACGTATTTGACTAATTGCAGAAATTAGGAAATTGGATTAACCTTGCATGTCGCAGAGAAGGTCAGTACATGTTGCAGCATAGTCTTGACAGAAAGATTGCGTAGATACATATATATATATAAACTCTCTACTGCTTCGATCGATGACACATCAGTCGAGCTGTCTAACTTTTCTCGCGTGCCGCAATTATCCTAATCACGAGTCGCCGTGGTGTTACCGTTTGCTATCTCGCAATTACTTGCGTCATAATTGATCGCTATTAATTCCGCATCAATAGGCATAACTCTTATTCGACATACACATTATCGTTATAAAAAATAAACAATTTCTATATACGTAAATTTCCATTAACTAATGTAACGATTTGGACTTTGTTTATTAAACAAGTCAACCCGCTATGTAAACTTAATAGAATGACAAAATAATGATGATTATACATTGCCCTGAAACGAAGAAAAAAAAAAAACTATACATCAACGCGAAATAATCGACCAAGTAATCTTTGATACGTTTCATATCTTATATCTCGTAACACGTATAACTCTTGCGTCAATTCGTTCATAATTCAATACGTAGCATCGGTTCATTTTATAGTTCATTGGAGTAGTCCCTGGTACACTAACCACTTGCTAACTGTGAATCTAGGTCAAGTTAACGGCAGTCGACAGTCAGCACTACGTGACATTCGTCGTAATATTAAAGGGCTTTAATTAATGATACACACGATACGGCAGTATCGTTAAACAAACTGTAAAATCTGCTGAAATGGCAATGCCGTCAAGTATAGCATATCACTTGCAAATTGTATCGTAGCAAATGTGTGCTTTTTTCTCTTACAAGCTAAAGTTTTGATGTAGGACGCGAATCTGACACCGGAGGAGAAAATATTGGAGCAGATCGCTGCGGCGGAAACCGAGCAACGTCTAATAATTAGACGGAAATTCCTGGCTGAAAAATGCGCCGAGGAAGGGCTCGACCGTCCTGGCAACGACTCGCTTCACAGACCGAATGCTTGGGAGTTTCTTGTAAATAGAGAATACCACCTTATATGGTGCAATGTATTTAAAGCAGCATCCACGTCATGGATGTACAACTTTAATTTACTCGCGGGGTAAGTCCGATCGCTATTCACACGTATTGATATCTGTCGCGCGCGCGCGCGCGCGTTATCTCCGTCGATGTGAGAATTACAAAATTCAATCGCATTGAACGGCGAAGCCGTGGTTGCGACTGATTGATCTCACAAGTAATCAATTATTATGCTCTCATTGCAGATACAGTCCACAATTTCTCAAGGCCTCCAAGGCAGTGCCAGTCTCGCTGGCCAGACAAAGGTATCCCAGACACACTGCGGAAGAGCTAGCTGAATTCCTAAACGACAGCATCAGTTTTCTGATAGTACGACATCCATTCGAAAGATTGCTCAGTGCTTACCGGGACAAACTGGAGCACAGTCTGCCGCACACGTTTCATAGTAATCTCGGTGCACACATAGTTTGGCACTACAGAGCAAGGGTAATGTCTAACTCGATCATTTTTCAAAGTAATACCAATTCGAATTGTATTAGTTAAGAGCCTTATGTTTTCCATATTGAGAATTATAAATAAATGATTTGTAGCAAAGCTGATAAAAATGTTACAATATGAGAATTTAGACCAATCAGAAAAATATTTAACTACAGATTTTTTACTCAATTTTAAGTCTATTTGAGCAAGAACAATTTACGCCGGCCTAACAGTCCTTTGAATCAATATTGTTAGTAAATCGATGAAATTGTATGCCAAGAGAAAAATTCTAATACCGTTTCTAATACGGTAAAAATTTTAATACGGTTTCTGATTTTTCGTGAAAAGCAGGATGCGAAAACAAATACAAGGCAAGGGCCGAGATATCCGCTTTTTGAGGAATTCGTACGGTGGCTATTATGCCAGTGGAGAGCAGGGAACGATCTTGACATGCATTGGACACCAGTTGTGAATTTCTGCACACCCTGCCAAGTGCGATTCGATGTAATAGCTAAATTCGAGACGCTGCATGTAAGTTATCTTCAATGATCAGTATAATACAATAAACGAAAAATTTTTGCTCAAGTATCTTAACAAGAATGCAGTTTGCTAAATATTAAAGACGAGATCAAATATTGTAAAATTATGTCTTTGCTAAAGGATGACCAAGATTATCTTATAAAGCAAGCCCACGTGGGACACATTATTAAACCCGAGTGGAAAAATCCAACTAGGGGCGTCCAGACTAAAGACGTAATAAAAAATTATTTTACGCAATTATCCAAGACGCAGATCATCGAGCTTTATGAGATGTTCAGGTACGTCCACAGAAACAGTATGAAATCTACGTACATTCATGTAACAGGATAGAAAAATATACAGAACATTTTAGACCAATCGTTTCATCCGTTAATAGCAGATTCCTAAGGTCATTTGGAGAATTTTTATACCAAAATATCGAGACTGCAGACAATTTTTTAAGTTGACCAAACCCAGATTGTCAAAAATTCACGCGCTCAGGCACGACGCATATTGAGTTTGTTCTTTTTAGTTGCACTGTACTGAAACAGGATAGTGCACAGGATAGCCAGACTATCTATCTGTCCTGTACTATCCTGTTTTAGCGCAGTCCCAGCGCAGTTAAAAAGAAACCTATTGATTTTTATATCCTCACTGGTGATATGGTTGGTCTGCCCTGTATAAATGATCGTATACAAGATCGTAATGTGTGTGTGTGTGTGTGTGTGTGTGTGTGTGTGCGCGCGCGCGCGCGCGCGCGTGTGTGTGTGTGTGTGTGTGTGTGTGAGAGAGAGAGAGAGGGAGAGATTATTGTATCTTATATATTTCGCAGATATGACTTCGTACTGTTCGACTATTCACCCGAAGAGTATCTAGTCTTTGGAAGAGATGTAGTCACTACACTAATATGTAAGAAATGATGTCGACATTTCGTATGTGCTTAACACGTGTGTGCCAACACATGAAATCTCTACTGCGAATGAAGCATGCGACATACAACGAAATTGTAGGTAGCATTTAAATAAATTGCAAGGAGAGGAAACTATGATACTTGTACATAGCAATGGTCATGCCATCGATGCAATCTTAGGAGTTTAAAAATAAAACGATACTTCTTCTTGATCTCCTGGTTTTGCAATTAATATATAAATTGCGTTATCATTATTGAACATTTTTATAGTGCATACGTTAAACTTTATCAAATTGTTGTATAGTACATTAAATACATTGAAGAATAGAATATTATGGAAACTTATGATAAATCGCAAACATGTCGAAAATGTCTGGCAAATATGAAAGATATATGTTTCATTGCTGCTTATTTTAATTATTGCGACAAGTAAATTTTTATGACTCTACTGTTGTCGGTTTTAAAAGTTTCATTAATATTATATAATCATTCAAAATTTGCATATCTTTCGATTATATTTCTTTCTAATAAAGTATAACATAGACTGAGTAATATTATTAGTGATTTAAAAGATTGCTAAGGCCTTCAAATAGAAATGCAATAAAATTGACTTAGGAAAAGTCTAGATAAATTATTAAAAGAATTCTAGTGAATGAATGTGACACAGAATTGAAAAGAATTTGTGATAGTTTCGGTTTTGTGTAATGCAATAAAAATGTCTATAATTATGTCACTGAGTTGTCTCCGACAACTGCACAATAATCTTTACAAGCATGACTATGACATAGTAACGCTATAACAATGGTAATAGTATGGTAATACTGCCTTGAGGAAACATGCAACATGCAAATGGGCAAAATGTTGAAATAATTAAATTATCACATTGTATCACTTCAAGATGCAGACATTTTGTAGAATTATATTGTTAGAAAAAACCTATATAAAATGCATATATATTCCTGGATAAGCCATTAAATCAATCAGCAGCATATTTGCATATGTTTTGCTATAGCAAAAATTAATTAAAATAATTGGATGTTTAAATTCCAAATAAAATATATTCACACATGATTATAGAACTAAATTATTAAATTTGGATAATGCAGAAACATCTCAATGTTATAAATTTCTATACTTATAAAGTAAAAAATACATTGTTGAAAGAATAAAGACGATTTCTATAATATATTCTGTATATAGAATATTTACTTTATTTGTCTTTATATCAACATTTTTCTGGTTATATTTATTTTGTCTATCTCTTTATCTATATTCTTCGATTGCAGATATGTATTTTTATTTCAACATCTCTCTTTTCTAGATTGATTTTTTTAAAAGGCAGAAATTGTGTATTATCATGCATGATAATGGGCCAAAGACTCACCAACACGATCTATTCTGCAGTTCTACTCCAATAATCCACTTATCCTGAAGAATATACTGCCATTGTGAGACAATCTCCAAGTTTTTGTCGGCATTACTAATGCTGTTACATCTTTGCTCCTTTACAGCAGGTTCTCCTTCAACAGTGTATAGCTATAACATATACTTATATGTCAAAAATTAACAGACTAAATATTATATTGAATATGGTAGTACTAATTTTTCAGTGTTCTTGTAGAAAAAAAATTGTGAAAAAATTTGTAAATTTAGTAATATAGAAATCTGTCTTATTGACAATAGTTTAGTTTAATTTTTTATTAAGAGAAGATAGAGAGAGAGAGTACAAGCAATAAGAATATTGCTCCAATTGCTCCAATTAAACCAATTATTAGTGGATTAGTGGATAGACATCGGTATTAAATCAAGTGTAAATCAGATATATCCACTTACATCACTACCAGAATCCGAACTGATATTCTCTCCATAAAGCGCGCGCTGTTGTAAAGCATTTAAAACGTGTGCGGTAGTTACTTTCAGTTCTGAAATTTCATCTGACGTGGTATCGATCCTATTTTGGATATCGTTGAGCTGCTTCAACAAATGCTCCTCGACGGGATTTGACATCCCGTTTCCGTTTGCAGTTTCCGTTGACAGCGACATTTCCTCATCGCTGTTAGCAAACATATCGTCGTCTCCCGAGTCCATATTGCTGTCGTGTGCTTTATTGACGACGTTATCGATACTCAAGTTATAGGTGCTTTACTCTTATTTCAGCGCGCCGTTAACAATACAAGAGAAACGAAAAATGATTTATTTCGTCTGAAAAAGAATTTACTTTTGAGGAAATCAGACAGAGGTACTACGAGGTAGTCGATAACACGCGCGATTAAACCGGTTGTTGCGATTAAACTCGTCGTTGTGAAAATTTCAAATTGTGCAAGCTAAACTACTGAATCAGTTTATGCAATGCAGCCAACGTAATAGCTGAACCTGTCCAAATACATTCTTATGGCGGATTTACATAGAGTCTGATGTTCAATATGCCGATATCCAATAAAATAATGCGCTTTCTAGGGACTGTGCCTGACAAGATGTCTGTCCCTAGAAAACGAATATTCTTACTTGATATTTTGCATAGTTGCGGATCTTACAAAGTATCTCGTCTATGGCGGAAAATATCTCGTCAAAAATGCGGAATGTCGCTACTGCGGCTAGTTGCTTCCTTAGCAACTCGTCCATCTGTTCATCCATTGTAGCGTGCGCGTATTCGGACATCGTTGGCCAAGTGTGAAATGTACCTGTTTGTCGCAACCTCGTCGCGAGGCCTGTCGTCGGACAGCGCAGCGGCGTGAAAATGGCGGTGTGAAGAAATGGCAGGCCGCAGATCGACACTAACGAACGCGTCGGACACGCTGCCCGGATCGGGCGGCGGTGGCGGCGGAGGTGGAATCGGCAGTGACCCGCTACGCGAACTCTTCGAGGCTTGCAAGACCGGTGATCTCGCTAAAGTGAAGGCGTTGGTCAATCCGAAGACGGTCAACGCCCGCGATACCGCCGGACGCAAGTCCACTCCCCTGCACTTTGCAGCTGGTGAGTCAAACTCAAGTCTTGTTCCGAACTTTGTACTCTGTTCTACTCGACCAAATATTATTTTCGCTCTTATGGAATTTTAAAATCAATATAAACACGTGGATTGATAACTAAAAGAGGTTAATCAGCTTTATATACGACGTTGAGCTGATTGCAACTTAGAGTTGTCAACTTGTCAAACAGTAATGTACAATCCATTCTTCCCATTGGTATATAATCATTGGATATAACCTGGCTTTCACACTCTCGAATAAATATGTTAAATTTCCAAATAAGAATGAAAGAGAAATTGGGAAAAATAAATAAAAGAATCAATTTTCAAAAGATTATTGAAGAAGCGTAGATTCTTGTTTGTTGCAATCATTTAACACTTTTACAACTCTGATCTCAATTTAAAAACATATCTGCACTTCTTCTTTAAATTAACTTTTATTGTGTATAAATTGTAAATATATTTAATGATCATTACAAATGTATAATTGTTTAGAAGTTATTCTAAATGTAATAAAGATATGATTGATAAAAATCTGTTTAATACTAGAAAAGAAGATTTTTATTTGAGCAGTGAATGTTTAATTTAGTTTCATATCTCTATAAATTGAAAAGTATATCAACTTATAGACCTAAACTTTTATATCAAAGACTTCAATAAGCATGATTTTATAAGTGGTTCGATTATAAAAACATGTATAATATTTCACGCATACACACACACACACGCGCGCGCGCGCACACGCACACACACGCACACACACACACACACACAATATATTTCTTATTCAATTATAGATTGTATTTTTTTAATCATATTTTACTGATAGTTTTCATCAATAATTGTATAATGAATAATTATATAATATTATTATTGTATCTCTTTAGAGATTATTGTAAATGTAAAAAATAAAATGTTTTCTATTTCATAGGATATGGTAGAAAAGACGTTGTAGAATTTCTTCTATCCGCTGGTGCATCAATTCAAGCACGTGACGATGGTGGTTTACATCCATTGCACAACGCATGCTCTTTTGGACATTGCGACGTTGTAAGATTACTCTTAGAGGCAGGAGCAAGTCCAAATACGAGAGATAATTGGAATTTTACGCCTTTACATGAGGCGGCAATTAAGGTGCTTATTTTAGTAGTGAGAAAATGTATTTATTTATGTGACCATGTCACTGATATTAAGTGCCGAAGATGGAAATGGTATCTAACTTTTTCATCTTCATTTGTACTCGACAGGGTAAAATAGACGTATGTATTACTCTGCTACAGCACGGAGCAGATGTAAACATTAGGAATACAGAAGGAAAGACTGCATTAGAAGTAGCGGATGCCTCTACTAAACCAGTACTAACAGGAGAGTATAGGAAAGACGAACTCTTAGAAGCTGCTAGATCCGGAAACGAGGAACGACTATTGCAACTATTAAACCCTCTTAATGTCAATTGTCACGCCAGTGACGGAAGAAGATCTACACCTCTGCACTTGGCAGCTGGATATAACAGATCCAGAGTTGTACAGATTCTTCTCCAGAATGGCGCAGATGTGCATGCCAAGGATAAAGGGTTGGTAAATGTGTATACATGTGCAAATTTCCATTTACATACAAACCTTGATGATAACGTGCTTCAAGAATTTGACAAAAAAGTCGATTTGCGATGAAAAAATTCTCCATCAAAATCTTCATCGATTCTTTTACAGGGGTCTTGTACCGCTTCATAATGCTTGTTCGTATGGTCATTTTGAAGTGACTGAGGCGCTTTTGAAGCACGGTGCTGCTGTGAACGCCAGTGATCTCTGGACATTTACTCCGTTGCACGAGGCCGCGAGTAAATCTAGAGCAGAGGTTTGTTCTTTACTACTGAGCGAAGGCGCAGATCCAACGCAATTAAACTGCCATAGTAAGAGCGCCATTGACGTAGCACCGACACTCGAATTGCAAGAAAGACTAGCGTGTGAGTTTTACACAGATTTGTCGCACTTTCTATTTTCATCATCAGATTCGAGAGTATTTATGGTTGAGTCATATTACAAAATACATAGTCTACAATTGATGTTTGACTTACAGACGAATATAAAGGTCACTGCCTCTTGGACGCCTGCAGACAGGCAGATCTTACTAAACTAAAGAAATATCTGTCCCAAGAAATTGTCAATTTCAAACATCCTTACACTGGAGACACACCGATGCATTGTGCAGTAGCATCGCCTTATCCAAAGAGAAAGCAAGTTATCGAGGCCTTGATTCGAAAGAATGCTGCCATGAATGAGAAGAATAAAGACTTTCTTACACCACTTCATGTGGCGACCGATCATTCGCATTACGACGCAATGGACATATTACTTCGACATAATGCAAAGGTCAACGCGCTGGACGGTTTGGGACAAACCGCACTACATAGGTATCTTTGTTTCGGAAAGCCACATGTCTCGCGATTTTACGTATATAATTTTTAAAAGTATAAATTCAGTTTTAACGTTTAGATTTGACATTATCAGGTTTAGGAATCGTCAATTAATTATTCTTCCTTACTAGGTGTGCTAGAGAGGATAATATACAAGCTTGCAGAATACTTTTATCGTATAATGTCGATCCTTCGATAGTATCTCTTCAAGGATATACCGCAGCGCAAATTTCTGCTGAAAATGTGTTGAAGATACTGCAAGGTGAGTCATTGAATTTTATTTTAGTCTTTTATTTTTCTCGCTCTGATATAGAGAATATTTTTGTTTTTATACTTAATTTTATAGATCCGCCGAGTGGGACCGATGACGTGGAAGCGCAACTATTGGAAGCAAGCAAATCGGGTGATCTCACCGCGGTAGAAAGAATCTTGCAAGCCAATCCGCATGCTGTAAATTGTCGCGATTTAGATGGGAGGCACTCGACTCCGCTGCACTTTGCAGCGGGTTTTAACAGAGTGCCAGTTGTAGAGTATTTATTAGCACATGGTGCGGATGTGCACGCCAAAGATAAAGGGTAATTAACTTAAATTAAGGATAATTGAAAAATTATATTATTTATGTAAATTACTTTGATGGGTTTTGTCTTTTTTTTTTTCGTCTTTTTTTTTTTTTTAATTCATTTTTTTTATCTTGCAAAGAGAATTTAATATAATTTACCATACATTTATAAAATACATCGTTCATGTGGAGTCTCTTGAATGTATTCCGTAATATAATGTTCATTTTGGCGGTATAGTGGGTTGGTTCCTCTCCACAACGCATGCTCTTACGGCCATTACGAAGTTACGGAATTATTAGTAAAACACGGCGCGTCTGTAAACGTCGCCGATTTATGGAAATTCACGCCGCTTCACGAAGCCGCTGCTAAAGGCAAATACGAGATAGTTCGATTACTTTTGAGACACGGAGCAGATGCCACCAAGAAGAATAGAGACGGCGCAACGCCATTAGATCTCGTAAGAGACGGGGATCAGGATGTAGCGGATTTACTACGTGGAAATAGCGCTCTTCTCGATGCAGCGAAAAAGGGCAACTTAGCTCGGGTTCAAAGGCTGGTTACGCAAGACAACATTAATTGCCGGGATGCACAAGGACGCAACAGTACACCGTTACATTTAGCTGGTAATTTGTATTGCTTTGTTTAAATAGCCTTTTTCAATATTCTTTCATTTTTGCCTTTTATTTCTATCGAATGTATTATTATACAAATGTTATTTTGGCAATACATTGGTAAAACTCAAGCTATTTAGAAATATTGAGGTCTAAAGAGATTTTCAACATTTTTCTCGAGGCAATGTTTTGTCTTTGTATATACATTGAGAAATGTTTTCTTTTAACACAGCGGGATACAATAATCTGGAAGTGGCTGAATTCTTGCTCGAACGTGGCGCAGATGTAAATGCACAAGATAAAGGTGGTCTTATACCTTTACATAACGCGTCGAGTTATGGTCATCTGGACATTGCAGCCTTGCTGATTAAATACAATACTGTAGTGAACGCGACCGACAAGTGGGGATTCACGCCGCTTCACGAAGCTGCACAGAAAGGTCGTACACAGTTGTGCGCTCTTTTGCTTGCGCATGGAGCCGATCCCTTTCTAAAAAATCAGGAGGGACAAACTCCGGTGGATCTAGCTAGTGCAGATGATGTAAGATGTTTATTGCAAGATGCTATGGCTTCTCAGCAAATTGTTCCATCGGTACCGTCCGGTAACATGGTGAATAGTACTGGTGGCAATTCTGTTAGCAGTAGGCCGCCTAGTATAGTGTCTGGTAAGGACAGTTTATGGTTGCAAATAATCATGGAATTTTCTAAAAGCTTTTCTTTGCCTATAATTCAGTTGAATGATCAAAATATATATTATTCAAAGAGAGGGATTTGTGAAACATAAAGCAAGTAGCAAAATAGTAAAAATTTAATTATTAAGTAGAAAAGACTCCGATAATGTGGAGAATGTAGGTAGATATAGAGGTAATATTTATTCTTGTTATATATAATTTTTACTTTGTCTGTTATTATTTAGTTCCTGTCACGCCTCCACCGCCTCTTACCCAAGAAACAGTCATTATGCCATCCGGCGCAGCTATGACTCTATGCGTGCCATTGGCTCGTCCGACGTCGTGCTTGAGTCCAATGCCGCAGAGCGAGCCGTGTTCCGAGAAAGAATCCAAAGATATGTGTAAAGAACATCATTCCATCACAACCGTCGCTAGTTTCCTGCAAAGTCTCGGTTTGGAGCACTTACTCGAGCTATTTGAGCGCGAGCAAATCACCTTAGACATACTGGCGGAAATGGGTCACGAAGATTTGAAGCAAGTCGGAGTATCAGCGTACGGTTATAGACATAAACTAATTAAAGGCATGGACAAGCTATTGAATACAGCAGCGGGCTCTCTCTGGCAGCCTTCCATAAATCCCGGAACATTGTTAGTAGATTTATTAGCTGAGGATAAAGAATTTCTCGCGGTTGAAGAAGAAATGCAAAGTACCATCAGGCAACATAGAGATAACGGCCACTCTGGCGGAATCTTCTCTCGTTACAATATAGTCAGAGTATGTAATTTATCAGGAAACTAATAACAAATATGATAATTGACACGTTCTACTCACAATGTATTTAATTAAAAATGTTCTATATAGATACAAAAGGTACAAAATCGCAAGCTGTGGGAGCGTTATGCTCACAGAAGACAGGAAGTGGCCGAAGAGGTTGGTGCTGTTGCTCCCGCTTCTCCCAGTACTGGCTCCAGAGGTACTCCCACTTCGACGGTATCGCAGGCAAACGAGAGAATGTTGTTCCACGGTAGCCCGTTTATCAACGCTATTGTTCAAAAAGGCTTCGACGAGCGGCATGCGTATATCGGTGGAATGTTTGGCGCTGGTATATATTTCGCGGAACACAGCAGCAAGAGTAATCAGTATGTCTACGGTATATGCGGCGGTACCGGATGTCCCGCGCATAAAGACAGAAGCTGTTACATTTGTCACAGGTAAATGGGAAATATTAAAAATTCAGTACTTGTAACAAGTTTGCAGAAAGTTATCAAGAACAGCGATTTTTATCATTAGCATTAATGCGTATCTATCAATGTACTTGTATATTTTCTTTTTTTTTAATCAGGTTATTGATACATTCCGTTTCTCATTTTTTTGTTTTTTTAGGCACTTGTTGCTCTGTAGAGTTACGCTTGGAAAGTCGTTTTTACAATTCTCGGCGATGAAAATGGCGCACGCCCCTCCCGGTCACCATAGCGTAATGGGCAAGCCATCGCAAGGTGGCTTGGTGTTCCCTGAGTACGTTGTCTACAGAGGTGAACAGGCGTATCCAGAGTACCTAATTACGTACCAGATCGCGAGGCCTCAGCAAGAAAGTGGCGACAGCGAGAGCGTCGAGGAACGGTGATCAGAAGAGCCAGGTCCCGCGGCGAGATTACGCAGTCTCTGTTGCTGTCAGAGACCGAGAGCATGTAGCACATTGTCGCGGACATAAGGCGTGAGTTATTTTCAACTTGATTCATCTAACAGTGGTTCTTCCATTTTTAACTGACTAGAATAAAATTTGCAAAAGTAACAGTATGTATGTATGTATGCGACTGTGTATGTGTGTGTGTGTGTGTGTACAATTGAAAAAAATGCGCATCTTATGCAAAATATTCTGATTTCAAAATAATTCCGCTATATCCTAATAATTTACTTTAAAAAGAAAAGTCTTTGTAATAGTTTATTTCTAGCTGAGTCGTGATATTCGAAATCAGTCCAGATGATAAAAGAATGTATATTGATTATGATATGTATATATCGATATAGAATTGCAGTCTCTTGCATCAAATTTGATGTATCGATTAGTGTGTTCGTAGGATTAGTCAGTATTAAAAAAACTGCAATGTACTCGTATACATTGGTATACGTAAATATAAGTAAATTAATTTATATTGGAAGGCACATGCTTGCCGTTTATAAAATAAAGACGGAGGGAAATGTTTGATCTTGAAAGTATGCAGAAAATCATCGAAAAAAGAATGTAATTTACTCGCCATCTTATATGATACAATAGCTTGTATAAATTAAATTTATCCAATTGATATAGACATTATAGGTAAAGTCTGCAATGTGATAAAATATATATTTATATATATCTGTATGTACATACATACATCTATGTTTTTTTTCTTTTCTTGTGTGGAATATAATAATATACCTGTAATTATTATAAAATTTTTCTATATTATGTATTGTATATACGATATTAACCATTTTCATTCTTATTCTAGCAATCAATTCGGTTGAGAGAACTATGTTTATATATGCAGAGTATTGTGTCAAGTATTACGAAACTCATTTCATTGTTCTTATAAATATTTTGCATTTCGGACTTTACTTGCGATTTGCATTATTCGTAGCCTTGATGTGAATATTATAGAGTAAATAATTTATAATTATCTACTCTTTTTCCTTTTTTTTTAAATATTTTATAAGCATAATCAATGGGGTTCCTATAATTCGATAGCGATATTTTAGACATTGTACATATCCTTTTTTTACTAAGATAATATAGATATTTTATTAATGTGTCAACCTGGTTTTGACCGAGAAACGATATCGGAAGACATTATGCGCGTCGCAAATGCTTCTACGAAATAAAACTTGTAGGATTTACACATAGTCAAGGCCGAGTAATATGTAGTTGCAAATTATTACGTCAGTGATTTAACTATTTGTAAAAGACTTATTGAATAACTGAATGAATTTTACTTGGATATATGTAACATCAACATTCAAAGAATAATAATTTTTCTAAACAAACTGAAGATGATTAGTAACGGATATCGGAAGGATACTTTAATTATTCTCAATATATTCAACGCAAGTTATTTTATTGTAATTGTAGAGAAGGAGAAAAAAGTATGCAAATATATATTTAAAAAATGATATACAAGAATACATAGCAGAAAACGAACACCATATTCAGCCATAACTGCTGGGGCTAAACAGTTATTTTGTAAAGGTGATGGTAATTTCTTTTGTGTTTATAGAATTTAGTTCTCTTCCACATGCTATCAATTGTTTGTGACTACAAAAGAAATAAATTAACCAATAACTTTTCTCTACTATTAAATCTGCTTTAAAGCTGACATTACTTTTGCATAAGGCAGGTATGCAATCTAGCTGGAGTGCATACGTATTACCACTGTGTTCTAAATGTAAGAGAACAAGAGACTTGTAAAAAAAATTTACTCTCTTTATATGTTAACAAAAAATTGGTCTGTATTTTTATTTCTCCGATTGCAATGTTTTTAGGAGTTATACAGAAGAAACATTCTCGCGTGCACACTTTTTTCTTTCCTTCAATATTATCAATTATATATTTGCACTTGCTTTGTCACCATTGTAATCATTCAAACTGGACACTAACGTTTATGAATTTCTTCGTTCGCCAATTGTGGAAATCTCTTGTCAATTCACGGAATATATAAATATCGATATTTATTACACGCGTGCAAGCGCGTCACTCAATGAAGCCCATTAAGATCTAAGTGATTTTAACGTGTTGCAGTTATATTGCGAAATGATATCTATAAAAATAACTCTGTAAACAGTTTAATCCTCAAGATTGCATCTCCACCGATATCTACCAGCTCTGTCGTTTTATTCGTCCATCCATTTTATCAAGCTATCGTTTATACTATGTTACATCATTCGCGGAACTTTTTCGATTTCACAATTCTTTGTCTGATATAAGAAAACATCAGCAACATCAATATAGAGGTTAAATATGTTGACGTAATGACAAATCCGAATACATTATGCACTTTATTGTAATAGATAAACTATTTAAGTACACAATATACACACATATAATATGTTGATATAGATCAGGAGAGAGAGAGAAAATACTAACACACATGTTTATCATTCATTCGCCAAATTGTTTTGTTTTTTTTTCTTCCTTTATTATTTTTTATAATAAAAATACGATTTTATATATAACACCTACTTATCGCGCAAAATCCTGTCATTAAATATTAAATTCTTATTTAAGTATCGAGCAACAACATCATCCTTATATTTCGTTTTCATAACATAGTAATGTAATAACATTAGAAACTTAATAATTTTAATAACTTTAGAAATAAGCCACAAAGTGTCTTTTGTCTTACTAATGTTGAACGTGTGCTATTATTATTTAAAACTATGCAATACACCACGTCATATCTCTGAGCATGTCATATCGAGATCAATTTGCATAATCCGAGAGTAACGCAACACGTGCTTTTAACGTGCAACATCTACAAGTTTTTTCTCAATTACATATTTTTTTTCCTAAAGTACACGTGACTACGTACGGAGACAGAGTCGTTTACAGAAACTTGCATATTTTTCTTTCAATAATGTGGCGCTAAGCTCTAAACTGTAAAGGGTATCGTTTCGCGCGTTTTTTCAGCGATATCCCTGGTATCACTGAGAGCAAAAACAAGTCTGGCTTGACTGATATACATTCCCCGGATGGAATTTTGCAAAAATTAAATTGTAACGGCCAATACTGATCGTTCGTTCTCATTTCCAGCACTGTCACGTTCTCATCGTTTGTTTTTTCGCGTATTCCTTCAAATGCGACGGAAAATTACGGCGACGATCGCTTTAGAAATTATGTTAACGTGACGCGTATACACGTGTTGTGCCGTATCAATCGTGAATCGGCATATTTTGATCGTTGGCGCCATCAAGTTGCATTTTAATTGGCTTCCGCGATATCTTTTTTGCTTATATCTTATTCAGTTGGAAAAAATAATACTACAGAAACATTATTCCCTATATAATTTGTTTACTCGCGTAATTGCACCCTACCGTGAAATGTTATTACATTTCGCGGCAAGAAATAATTTTAGTAATGTATCAATAATGAAGACGGTTATCAATACTAAAATGCGCCGATCGTTGTATCCAGCTCATTCCGGAATGTCAACGACACCACCTGTTTGTCACATTCTTTACGCCAGGGATGCTATTAATGTACAAATGCTTTGTGTGCGCGGCAAATTCCGCGGAAACTCGTCGACAGATTGTCGAAAGAAGTTTGGCGCCAGATGACGTTATGTAAGTTGTACGTGTGATCTCGTAAGGTCTCGGCGCCAACACACCAAGCTGCATTTTTTGCATCGAGCTGCTCACTGAGATGCAGCACCAGGTTGCACTCATCTCATCCACAATGGGCATAAACTGATAAAGTAATATTTTTAAGAGGCAGATGCCTCGATGATAATAAAACGTAGCAAAAACCCTCAGAGCCGATACAATATTAAAACCGTTTATTCTCATTTCCCCCCCGAGTTGCTATTGCGCGAGAAAATCAACCTGATGTTGCAGCCAGCACAATACAACTACAAAGAAGAATGCAAGGAGCACGCGGCCCGCGTGCTACTGCGATTCGCGAAAACGCCGCAATCACGTGAACGTCACGCAAGGCGGTGGACGCGCATGCTTGCGTTCGCGCCGCTTGCCGGCGTGGAGCGACGCGCGATTCCCCTGCGTTCAAACGTGCATCGTACGTGACGGAGGGTAGAGCAGCACCGCGCAATTGGCGGCGTGCCGGCCAAGCCGAATCAGCAGAGGTTGAATTCTCGTACGATATCGCGGTCTCATGACTTCTCGCGCGTTGACGAACGGTCAAGGAACGTGTCCGATCGAATGGCGACGGTGAGATAAGACACACCGCTGTCGGTCGTGTTCGCGCCGGAATTGGTGATAGGCACGCGTGCGATGCGCTACACCGCTGTCATTATCACGTGAGGACGAAAGAACCGTTCAGCCGGCCTTTTAAACACGACCGGTGTATACAGATTCCTCTTCTATTCGTAAACATTTACCGCGTAAGATCGAAGCTCGCAAACCGTAGTAGTATTCGGATATCGCAATGTCAAACATGGTTATATGAGAGATTTCTTCGGGAAAAGTAACAAAACTGCATATGATATCTCGGTTATCGATCTCAAAATTGTCAAAGAGCGGAGTGAGAAGAGCAGGAAGAAGGATACTGTGTGAAGCTCATCAGTGGAATCATAGAGAAGCGGAGGAAACGTTTGTAGACATTTCGTCGCACCTGCGGAGTTTGTCGTTACTGCGAGAAATCGGTAAGTAGTGCATCACTTTTCATAGCTCTTTATTAGTTACATTGAGATTTTGCGCGTGAGCGATTTATAAATTCTTTGCACTCTTGCGAGATAGATTGAGTGTGAGTCCGATACAGCCGATTCATCAATGTACGATTATTGCTCATTTTGTAATTCAAGTTCGATCAAAGGAAGAAAGAATTTTTTATCATTTTTGATACTCAATGCTGAATAGCTGATAGATCATGATTTTATCTACTAACAATAAGTGATTTCACTGTGTACTAGATTTTGTGCCTGAAAAAGAATTGCATCACGTGATATGCGTGTATATCAAGCGCATACATAAAAATAGTATTGGCAGCTAGTATTATTTTAATAAACTTTCACGATGATATAGTTGTAAAAATAAACTGCGCAAAAAATATTCACCAAGTATCGAAGATTGAATCGAAATTATGTTAGGCCGGCGCATTATTCCAGGACAGTGCTTAGGTCTGCTATAAGTCTGGATATTCCCCTTGCAGCCAAGGAGTGCAATTCACTCGTGCATTTCACTCGTGCATTTCACTTTGTAGGCGCTTGCGAATATGCGACTTGTAGATATCTATGCGAAAGATTTCAGTCTATACTTTTAATATTTCTCTCTCGCGCTATGGTGCGATCCTAAATAATTATCTATGGGTGACACAAAATGTGAATGGATATGGATATTGAAATAAGGTAGGAGTAGACATTTAGTCACATGTCTGAATAAATAATTTGGATTTTCGACGAAAGTTTTGATTTTTATAGAAACTCGATTAGCATGCGTTAAATATGCATAAGAATAAATGTGACACAAAATTCGGATCAAGTTCTGACCTCATAGATCGGGCATTTCTGATAGTGGAAAACACCGGGAACAAATGGCTTTGTGATGTTTATAAATGAACTCTTGCTCTTTTCTTATCGATATGGTATTTCCGTCTATACTGGCAAAAGAATACGATATAATTGTTTGACATTAATCGGAAACGTGTTACGTGTTTTATCATAGTATATATGTGTGATATTTCGAACGAAGGGTTAATTATAATAGAACAATAGATAACCTAGTGTGAACCTTCACTAACGCGTTCTAATTATTCGCACACAAGTTCGGAGTTCATTTACAACGGACCAGAGTGAGCATACACGTGTGTACCGTATTATCGTTTCACGAAGGGGATACTTTGTTTACAAACAAAATCCGAGATAACTTTTGAAACACGTCGCATAATTCACACGCGTGTTACGTATCTCGTATCATTAGCGAATTAATCTATCCATACTAGCCAAGTCTGTTTTTAATCGTTATTATAAACATGTCATTATGTATTAGCACAATTAGACACCGGCTAAAAAATATTGTTTCGTAATCTCGAAACAAGCTGAATAAAAATATTAATTCAAAAAGCAAATATATCCAAGTTTTACTTAATAATTAATTGCCAAAAGTGTGAGATTGAGTAAAATAAACACAATTTCTTCCCATTGTTTCTTCTTCCTTTTCTTTTGGTTTTAATTAAATATATATAATTTCATCTCACTCGATTATTCAATAAAATCCTGTAGGTAATAGATGAAAAAAAATTTCTTACACAAATAAATCGAGCTTCTTAAATTTTTCGATTATCTTATGCAAAGTGAAAATCTTTTAAACCGAACGTTTCGAGAGACATATGTCGTACATACCACAGATATCGAGATATTCTTCCGAAACCGGCTTAGCAGCTTCCTAGACGACATTCACGCGTCTCGTGCGTGCGTGTGGCGGCATAGTCTTGTGTCTTCGCACAAAAATTCACGTATTTCGTTAATCGTTCCTTCAGCACGCCCACGTAGAACTCTACCAGCGTATAAAATTCCATCGTGTACTTGCATATGTAATTCCGATTCATTTATATGTAGCACGTATATATTTCCACGCGTACACGCTAAAGTACTCGCTTCCGCGGAAAGTTAGACTACCGGTTATTGCAACCTGTCCGGATTAAGCATGTACTGGGTGTTAAAAAGTTTCCTGGGAATTTAAGATTGACTCCTATTCGAGTAGGAAACATCTAGCGACAAATGTACGTTTCAACAAGATTTTAAACTGTTTTTGGGTCACATTTCGTTTATTTTTAAATTATGTTTAATTTTAAATTATATGAGAATTTTATTTTGTATTTATTAGCTAGAGCATCACACAACAAGTCAATTGTAATACATTATAACCATATTATCGATAAATTATAATTAATTATATTGTTTTTAATTTCACTGATTAATAATATATCGAAAAATTATCTTTTTTGGGTGAAATTCTAACAAACGTTTAAAGCTCTAAATACTGTGGGATTCCTCATGTACTAAATGCGTAAGCGTACTGCATATCTCTCTCTCTCTC